GGGTTTCATTACCGGATGGGAGGAGTGTAGGTGATCATATTTCTATACCCTATAATCCTTGGGTGTTTACCGATTGTACGATGTTCCCATGGTTTTACTCACTTTTTCATGAAATTTGCCTATACTGTATTTTGTTTCAGGTTTTGTTAGTTTTTACACAAAATTATAAAATATCAATGTTGAACTTAATGAGCTAAATGCGTATTTTACATTATATTTTTAGTGCCCGAAACCAAATATTGAAAATCTAAACGTAATAAATGGTAAAAAGCAATAAACCAAACATAAAAAGCATAAGGAACACATGTGTATCGGAAGTTAACTTCTGCGTCATGTGGTCTCTAGTGGAGGGCTCTCACTTTGGCAATCATACAACATCTTCTTATTTTTACATAGAATTTATTTTATTAAACCGTATTTGTTTATGAACTCAATTCAAGGAACAATATCAAAGTAAAGATGTAATTGTTGGTGTTTGTTTACAATTGTGTTTTGATGGATTGTTGCATGCCAAATGTTTTGTTCGGGTTTTGATGGATTGTTGCATGCCAAATGTTTTGATCGGGTTTTGATGGATTGTTGCATGCCAAATGTTTTGTTCGGGTTTTGAAGGATTGTTGCATGCCAAATGTTTTGTTCGGGTTTTGATGGAGTGTTGCATGCCAAATGTTTTGTTCGGTTTTTGATGGATTGTTGCATGCCAAATGTTTTGATTGTGTTTTGATGGATTGTTGCATGCCAAATGTTTTGTTCGGGTTTTGATGGAGTGTTGCATGCCAAATGTTTTGTTCGGGTTTTGATGGAGTGTTGCATTCCAAATGTTTTGTTCGGGTTTTGATGGATTGTTGCATGCCAAATGTTTTGTTCGGTTTTTGCTGGATTGTTGCATGCCAAATGTTTTGATTGTGTTTTGATGGAGTGTTGCATGCCAAATGTTTTGTTCGGGTTTTGATGGATTGTTGCATACCAAATGTTTTGATCGGGTTTTGATGGAGTGTTGCATGCCAAATGTTTTGATCGGGTTTTGATGGAGTGTTGCATGCCAAATGTTTTGTTCGGGTTTTGATGGAGTGTTGCATGCCAAATGTTTTGTTCGGGTTTTGATGGATTGTTGCATGCCAAATGTTTTGTTCGGGTTTTGCTGGATTGTTGCATGCCAAATGTTTTGATTGTGTTTTGATGGAGTGTTGCATGCCAAATGTTTTGTTCGGGTTTAGATGGATTGTTGCATGCCAAATGTTTTGATCGGGTTTTGATGGAGTGTTGCATGCCAAATGTTTTGTTCGGGTTTTGATGGAGTGTTGCATGCCAAATGTTTTGTTCGGGTTTTGATGGATTGTTGCATGCCAAATGTTTTGTTCGGGTTTTGCTGGATTGTTGCATGCCAAATGTTTTGATTGTGTTTTGATGGAGTGTTGCATGCCAAATGTTTTGTTCGGGTTTTGATGGATTGTTGCATGCCAAATGTTTTGATCGGGTTTTGATGGAGTGTTGCATGCCAAATATTTTGTTCGGGTTTTGATGGAGTGTTGCATGCCAAATGTTTTGTTCGGGTTTTGATGGAGTGTTGCATGCCAAATGTTTTGTTCGGGTTTTGATGGAGTGTTGCATGCCAAATGTTTTGTTCGGGTTTTGATGGATTGTTGCATGCCAAATGTTTTGTTCGGGTTTTGCTGGATTGTTGCATGCCAAATGTTTTGATTGTGTTTTGATGGAGTGATGGTGCCAAATGTTTTGTTCGGGTTTTGATGGATTGTTGCATGCCAAATGTTTTGATCGGGTTTTAATGGAGTGTTGCATGCCAAATATTTTGTTCGGGTTTTGATGGATTGTTGCTTGTCTTATGTCATGATTGTGTTTTGATTTCTTGTTGCTGGACTAATTTCCTGATTGGGTTATGAGGGATTGGGTTATGAGAGATTAGGTTATGAGTGAATGGGTTATGAGACATTTAGTCGAGGACAAGTGTCACGTGATTATAACTACTCCAGCATACATGTAGGTAGCTCCTCTGCTGGTATCTGGTTTCTCCACGAGGGTACCATATCCACAGTTTTGAGTTATTTGCATACATTTTTTTATCATAAAAACGCAGTGGTAGTAATACCAGAGATATGATATTCACCGAGGCCAACGGCCAAGGATGAATGTCTTAACTATTGGTTGATAAATCAGTGTATCAACTGATATCAAAAGTCAACTATTGTTTTATTATAATACTTTTTTTATAGTATTTTCTGAAGATATTTCACTGCTTCTTTTATACTAAATATATTATCTGTTTTGGCAGTTGCTAAACTTTTATAAATTGAAATATCAAATCAGATTTATTATAAAAAAAATAACATCGAAAAAAGGAGAAAAAAATGAGAATGTAAATGACGTAATAAACCTATGCTATAGACGTTGCCCAAGAAAAAACTATTTATAGGTACACGTTATATGTTCCAAATCTTATATTAACCTCTCGTTATTTTTCCCGCGGTGAATATATAATGTTTTATCAAAGAAGATTCCCTACGTTTTCAGTCAATGAGAAAAGAAATGTTTTATGGTCATATATTACCAGCTGTTATTAAAGTGATAATACCGGCATTAGCATGGATACAAATGTTATATGTTATTATGCAGGCAAGACAAAATATAATATGCATCAAGATTTACTCTCCCAAATGACATCTTCTGTGTCCTGTACTTCATCAACTTAAGCCAATAGCATGTAATATAAATCAATTATAACGTTCATTCTTCCGCTATTTTCATGAGTGCTAATCTCTTTTTGTCTCTAGGTTATTTAAACTCATTCAATCATTACAATTATCCGTTTTAAGCGATGATACTTACATTTTGTGATTCAGCAGAACACATGAATGAAGCACAGCTTTAGGAATATAACCATTCTCAAGTATATAAGTAAAATGTGGTGTAGGAAAAAAAAAAGTTGTTAAAACATTTACTTTTTGCTCGCCGCCAAACACCATCTTCTTCCGCTGTAATGTTTCATGTACTGCTTAGAGTGCTGGGTTGTAACGGTAATTAAGTGTTTTATTACAGCAGGACTCAGTTACGTAGGAGTAGACTGGTGTGGGAGGACTTCTGAACGTGACAAGCAAAAACAAAGCTTTTCTATAGTGGACTGATGTGGGAGGACTTCTGAACGTGACAAGCAAAACAAAGCTTTTCTATAGTTGACTGATGTGGGAGGACTTCTGAACGTGACAAGCAAAACAAAGCTTTTCTATAGTCGACTGATGTGGGAGGACTTCTGAACGTGACAAGCAAAAACAAACCTTTCTATAGTCGACTGATGTGGGAGGACTTCTGAACGTGACAAGCAAAACAAAGCTTTTCTTTAGTCGACTGATGTGGGAGGACTTCTGAACGTGAAAAGTAAAAACAAAGATTTTCTATAGTCTTAGTATGCAGGAGTTATCCAGTTCCCTGGCCTTTTTCAATATTTCTTTTTTGTCGAACATTGTTTTGGTCCTCCACTTTTGAAAGTGGGGTAGGGCAATTGCCACCCTTGTTCCCGTCTCCTACAAAAATTCAGGTTAAATACTTGAGCCTGCTGTAATTAAATGTTAGCAGTCATTGGTATATTGTGTATTACATTTTTGTTTTGTAATCTATAACATCGTTATTTCACTATACTTAAGTGCTTTTAATGTACTTATTTGTTTTTCGTGAGTTTTTAATCACCTGTTGTTAATGCACTAATCGATAGTAAAGGGGCGAGGATTGAGATCTAAAAAATTTAGCCAAACTTAGCCACATTTTCATGCGTCTGTCCAATAACAGTAACCTCTCCATCGACTGTCTTAAATCAAATGTCTTATCTTTTTTGTTAACTAAATATTTTGTCTTTTTATGAGATTTTTCTGCTATTTTTTTTTCATTGCTGCTTTTAGACTAATAACGATCTAGAGATAACTGACATACCTAGTTGAAGGTCGTACAGTGACCTGTAGTTTCTTAAATCCACATCATTTGGACTCTGTTTGGTAGTTGTCATATCATACCTTTTCCTTATTTCAGATCTTTGGTATAGACACCTGTCTATTATTTAAAACGAGAAGTTTGCCTCTTAATTTCTTTTGAATATTTTTTTCGTAGGATTGTTGTCACATTGCCTTCTACCCCACATATCTTTTTTTTTCATGTTGGAAATGAAGAAAAATGACGTGAATGTTCACAAGACAATTGAACAGCATTTGTTTCCTGTTCTTCATAGCAATAGCTGCTGAAATCTGCTGGATGTAAACTAAACTGAGTATATCTTCAACAGAAACAAAATGAAAATACCACATTGCACTTCTGCAGTTAGATTTGCTCAACATCGAAACACATTACCAATGCTTTTAAAGGAATATATACAGCGACACTTGCATTGCGTATTATGAAAGCTCGTGCTGCTTACATATGTACTCAAGAAAGCATTATAGCACTTGATTGTATCTAATGTAATTTGTTTAAATCTCGAATTATTGATGCTATTCTTTATGTCTTTATAAGGTAGTAAATAAAAATAACATGTTATACTAGTGCAGTCTTTCTAGAAATTCTATCATTCGTTGTAATACAAAAAGAATTAACCTATGTAATTCTGAATTGGAGCTGAACTACGAGGACATGTGAGGGTACAAGTTCATCAATGTTAATAATTCAACAAACATGACATTTCAAATTGAACAAAATGTTTATTTCTGTATCCTTTTTAGAGCCTCACATCTGTTACATATACATCAACTAGAATCCAGTCCAAATAATCGATATATCTTCCGTATAAAGTTGTTTTAATGGAGCAATAACGCAACTCCTAGTTTATCTATGCACTATTGTATAGTGTGTAATTGTATGGAGACGATTTGAATTATTAATTTCCTCTGTTACACTTTTTTCTTAATTACAGGGTATGCCTTTATAGTGATTTATTGCTTCAAATAAAATAGAGACGGAGTTCAAATAAGTTTGAATCATTCCTTATATCTTTAATCGAACTTAATGAATAATTTGCACTGTATTTGTCTACCATATATTATTTATAAACGAATCTCTAATTATTATGATAATTGTCATTATCACATCTCGTATTGATCGAAATCTAATTATCTGTTCATTTTTGTTTTATATACACGGTTTTATTACGAATTGCGAATTCAGTGTAAAATCCCTGTCATTCGTCAATATCAATTGTGCGACGCCTAATAACGCATGTTTCATTTTACCGCTGTATATTCTTTCCAAAGCTGTCAATAACGAAATACAATGAAGACGACATTCGTATATCCATTACGGATTCAGTATTGTCGCTTGATTCAGACGTTGACAGCATATCTGATAATTGGATAAATCTTCCCGGCACTTACCTGTATTTACCTGAAATGTATGTAGTTTTCTAATGGAAATAGATGCTGCGATATATTGATGGAATTTATAGATCTAATGGTTATAACATTTTTTTCTCATATAGATTTTCGAAGTAAAATATGGAGTATTCATGTTTAAATGGAAAAGCGATAGAAAACAAATAGAGTTATTGAACAATTGGAATATGTAATTACTTTGTACCTTAAGAAGGTTACAACAAGGTAAATATTGTTTTTTTATCGGAAATAAGTAAAACAAAATTAAAAGTATAAATATGAAAACTGCAATAATTGTCAGATTACATATGCCTATTGTAATAAAAACTTTCTCTGAGCAGTAAAGAACACCACTGGGAACTATGGTAGTAATTAAATAATAAACATTGACCCGACTCTGTAGTAATATCGACTATAATGCCTAACACAGGTCAGGAACAAACTGGTAATCCGGGCGGCGGGAACAATGGTCGGCACTATCTTTCACCGGACAGCGGAGGATGTATTGACAAGTCACCAAGTTTACAACGAATCCACCAACAAAGTTCAACAGAAACAAGTGGACTAGGTGCATCTGAATTTTCTTCGCGAGAAAGTATTCATAGTAATCAAAGTTTTAATGACCATAAATGTGATCATGGGCATTTAGTCCGATACAAACATGCCATGGTTGTGCCAAAAGAACAGAAAAATTTAGTGTCTAAATCAAATCCGGAAACAAAAAAGGAAATAAGTCCGGATACGGAAATGAAAACAATGTTTTCGGATGGACCTAATTTTGATGATTTATTTAATCAGTCACGAAATACAAAAACAAACAGTTTTGACACGGGACAGAATGAAAATTATAGACCGAGGAGAAATTACGATAGGAACCACAATCCTGGTCAACATAGTGTCGACGACAATTCAAGCCACAATCAGAGTCAACCTGAGAACTATCGACCTCGAAGGCCTAGATCTCGAAGTCACAAATTAGAAATCGAGGATGAAAATTATGAGTGGACACGAAAAGGATCGAAAGGCTCAATCAAAAGTCATACATCCCGAGGATCATTTCGTTCACGTTCAGGATCTTGCAAATATAAATTAGGACATGATTTTGATTCAGCTTGGATGAAATGGGGCCGAGCGAGACGAGAATCGTATCAAAGAAAACTTGAGGTACCGGAAAATGAACCAATAGAACGTGAACGTGCTACAACTCCAATCAAAAAGGCAAGACAAGAACTCATTGCGCAATTTGTGCATCCTGACCTGACAGAAAAATACATTTCTGAAGATGATATTAACTACATCAGGCGTCACAGACAAAGACAGTATCAAACCTACCATGCCATTGAAAAAACTAAGAAAAATAAACGGCTTCTTTCTACTCATAGCGACATCTACCTTAATGCAAGGGAATGGAAAATACTCTCCAGTTTTTGGAAACATAAAGTCTTTAGGCGCTCAAGATATTTCTCATTATTTTTTGTGATTTTAAGTATAATAATTTTGAGTGTTAGTGTGGCCAGTAAGAAATGGATTATATACAACACATCTGACGATGGTAAGTAACCAACGTTTTTTTATTTCTGAGGCCCCTCATGGGGGTGTCCAAGTAATCACATAATCACAATTTTTTTGCCAATATAATCACATAATCATTAATTATATTTAAACAAGATAATTAAATAATCAAAAATACAGTTCTAGATTATCAAATAATCAAATAATCATGAAATATTTGGTCTTGAAATCAAATAATCACTGTAAAAACGGCCAAGTAATCACATAATCAAAAACCCCATGCGGAGGCGCATTTATTCATTTTTTATGTTTTTATGTCTGTCTTGTGTTTAGTGTTATTTATTGTACTAAGACTAAGATTGGATCTCCAACGTACAAAGTTGGCAGAGGACTAGTTTGAGCTGTTCTGTTTGAGTTTGATAAATTGATTTTTTATATGATTTTCAAAAACACTTGTCGTACACTTTGAAATTAAAATCGGTTAAAAGTCAAGCATGAATGAACCCATTATGGTAAGAATACTTCACTGTAGCAAATGACAACGGATATGTTCCATGTATTATATCCACATTGCCGTCATCCTTTATATCGTTTATCGCACGACCTGTGTACTTGTGAAGCAAATCCGGAACACTCGAGTCCATTTCCGGTTTTGATGTGATTCTTTCTTTGCTCAATCTTTAGGGAGCTACCATTTGATTTTTAGGGGGGGGGAGGGGGGCTAAGATGAAAAATTGTGTCCTGCATTTTTTTTAGTAGTAATCTCGGTCCTGCCTTTTTATTTTTCACTTTATTCGGTCCTTCATTTTTTTTTATTCGTTTATCCTGACTTTTTATACATAATTTGTCATCCTGCCTTTTTTTTTTGCCAGGCCGCTAGTAGTCATAAATTATTAATACGGGATTTCCTTCCACAAGAAACTTATAACTATCAGTCTCCGAGGGTATTATCAGCCCAGTAGTCAGTACTTCGGTACTGGCATGATTTGTAACAAACCTTTCTAAAATTGTCCGTTAATAAATTTTGAAATTATTAGAAACTAAGGTTTCAACTCCCTCAGGCAAAGTTGACCTTAGATGGATTTGGCTATTTTTTTGTGTCTTTTTTGGTAATATAGCTCCTCAGCTGTTTCGATTCTTATACAGCTTTGGCTTTCAAATATTCGTCTTTGAGGGTTCCTGATGAAGGACAGCGCTTCGGACGCATGAAATTCGTAACGTGAAAAAGGGAGCTTAACAGATACAAATAAACATTGTGATACTACTGGGTTGATGACTGATGTATGTTTGATATAGTTTGATTTTCATGTGTCGTGGTACTTATACCAAACTAATTAAAACTTCAAAGTATCGAGTTCCTGAACGCAGCCAGTGTGCAGTGTCATCAACCAATAAACTGTTACTAAGCACAATAACGATAGTAATCATTAATTATATTTCATACTTAAACTTAAAAACTAAGTGAAGTCTTGACAGATTGCATGTCATAACTACTTTTAGTCAATAGTTTGACAATATACACACTCTTCGTCAAAGGAGTAAATGATAAAGTTCAAAGACGCTGAAATAATTAACAAAATCAACATTTTTATTTTCTTTATATATACGTAAGACATGTAGAATCGTATCATCATAGTCATGGCAATAGTTTGTAAAATAGAGATTAAGAAGATACAATGGAAGCAATTAAACCATAAATTTCAAAAACAGTATAAGATAATTAACAAGTTTAGTCTAAAACATAGAAAATAAAGATTCAGCAACATGAGGGTGACATTTGTGAATTCCGAAATAAATAGATAGATTAATAACTTCAATTTTAAGAATAGTGTGGGCATGAGAAACCGAAAATGTCGAAAAAAGTCTATAGATTCTCAAACTTTATACATTTGATATAAGTACCTGTTATAATAAAAGTTTGTCTTTTTATAAGCGTAAGTTTTTAGTTTTGAATTGTTTGACATATGCAGATCTTTGCCACATATGATGTGTTGGACTTTTTTCACGGGTAACAAATTTTTGGAAATGTGTTATCTTATTTTAAATGTGAGTCTCATACCACATCTTCTTATATCTATATAAAGGATGATCTGAGGATCCAATATTAGCAAATTAAGTACAAAGATTAGCAATTACAGTTGTGTACAATATTGCCAAATTAAGTGCAATGATTAGCAATTACAGTGGTGTACAATATTTTTAACATTAATAATAATGAACAAAAAAGCTCATAAAAAGAAAAAGAATATAACAATATTACATGATGTCCATGCAGTGTTTGGAGTATTTGATGACCATGTAACGGCATCATATCCATTGCATGTATTAAAGTTAGAAAGTAAAATTATATATATGTGTCTATTATGTATTATATATTGATTGTCCAAGTTATTCGAATTTAGCTATCATCCAGATGCAAGAGTCACCAAGGTCAGGTGTTCAAAGAACATTCATATGTGTATTGTTACAATTTGTGGCATAATTTCATATGATTTGCATAAGTCTGATAATATCATCCCTTGTGCTCCAGAAGGTCAAATCTTCACATTCTACATGTATATCGTCATTTAAAAAGGTTTTAGTGATGTGTTTTGTGTGTCTCGTATTTTACTTTAAAGTATGTTTTTGTGCAAAATCAAATAGATATAACTTGCTAGATTTTTAGTGGAAACTTTCACCAAGCGATAACAGCATACATAGTTGTTTCATATTCACATCAAAATATTGGAGATTGAAAAGAATATTCCAAACAGTGATACCAAAGATACCATATTCAAAAAGACTAGTATCGAATAGTACACGTATTTTTTTAGCGTTCCAATTATTGTTATCGTGATTTCTCCTATTTCTGTCATTCTTTTTAAAGGTTAATTCTCAATAAAAATATCGGTTGAATGTTTATCGACTGGGTGTTTTATGAGGTCCTTTTATTACCACGTGTGCTATTACGCTGCCGATGACATTTTATATAGTTATTTTCATACAACTTTGATATTCATTACAGAAATGTCATTGGTCAGTTTGTTTATACATTAGCACAATAAGGTCATTGGCATTACGTGTACATGAAATAATTCTTAAACTTATAACTTATAAAAAAAAACGCATTTCATCAATTGAAAAACGAAAACAACATTAAATTACTAGATATTCCCGATCAGTTCCATCTTTTAAAAGTTAAGTAGGCGTTGTTTGTACTACTAACGTTTATTATTGACTGTAAAATCATATATATATAGAGATTCTACCACTGCATCGAGTGTCATACGATATTTATCCACTCGAGACAGTTAAATTTTCAAATCTAAAACGCGAGGCTCGCCGAGCGTTTTAAATATCTAAAATTTAACTGTCGAGAGTGGATAAATATCGTATTACACGAGATTTGGTGGTGGAATCTGTTTCTCTAATGATTTTCAAACAATACGCAGGCAAACTTATTCCTTCTTTTTGAATGATCTACAAAAAGATGTGTTCTATCTATGTGACGTCATCAGGCATGGTCGCCTTTTTTCATGCCGTCACAATAGGAAATTCCGAGGAAAGCAAGAAAATTCGACGTCATAATCAGATTTTAACCAATGAAGAACTGAGATCAAACGAACCACACGTTGATTAAATTTTTTTTATACAATGGGTGAAGAAAGGGATAAATTGACGATGAATTAGAGAAATATATATATATCTACGGAAGCCGATAAGGGCCATTCAAAAAAAAAATTATGTCGTAATTACGACATAGCATGTCGTAATTTCGACATAACATGTCGTTATAACGACATCGCTATGTCGTAATTTCGACATAACATGTCGTTATAACGACATCGCTATGTCGTAATTTCGACATAACATGTCGTTATTACGACATCACTATGTCGTAATAACGACATAGCTAAGTCGTAATAACGACATCGCTATATATATATAAGAATATGTATTATGATTGCCAAAAGACTTAATGACACAGAAATTAACAACCATAGGTCATCAGAATGCCCTCAACAATGAGAAAAGCCCCCGCATAGTCAGCTATAAAAGAGGGACGAAAGATACCAGAGGGAGAGTCCCCGAAATACGGAAGCCGATAAGGGCCATTCAAAAAAAAATTATGTCGTAATTACGACATAGCATGTCGTAATTTCGACATAACATGTCGTTATAACGACATCGCTATGTCGTAATTTCGACATAACATGTCGTTATAACGACATCGCTATGTCGTAATAACGACATCGCTATATATATATAAGAATATGTATTATGATTGCCAAAAGACTTAATGACACAGGAATTAACAACCATAGGTCATCAGAATGCCCTCAACAATGAGAAAAGCCCCCGCATAGTCAGCTATAAAAGAGGGACGAAAGATACCAGAGGGAGAGTCCCCGAAATGACAGCTGTTTAATAATTTAATTCAAACGAGTGAAAATAACGGTTTTAATAATGTACAAACAAAGACCGAAACACGAATATGTAACACAGCAACAAATGACAACCACTGAATTACAGACTCCTGACCGCTATGTGATAATAACGGCAACCTTATAGTTTAACTTTTCACTTTTTGATGCGATAGGCATTTCAAAATGGTTGTCATTAAAGGCAAAGTTTGTAGCGGAAACAAATTCATCTTTTTTTTTAGAATAATGAACACTATATGCAATCAACTCAATTCAAGTTATTCACTTGCACCTCAGACTTGCACATACTAGAACTTTATTTATAATCAAGTCAAATGAGACCCAGTTGAATAGGGGAGCAATTCAAGCTCCTTGGAGCCTCTAATTATGTTTGACATGTACAGATTTGTGTAAATTATGAAGTCCTGCATTTCCATTGCAGGTTCTGAATAAGATGAATTTTAAGCTTTTCCCAATAAAGACTATGTTAAACTTTGGACTCATAGTGCTCAGACCCAAGAATCTCTGTACCTTCATTTGTACACACTTGAATCTTAATGTACAGTAACTACTGAGGCTTGATGCAAATTATTACTGCATTGCTATTGTTGGTCCTTAATGAGATTCTTCAAGCGTC